CCTTCCGATTCAATTCCCTTGATTTTCAATTGAATAGCTCGATAAAAAAGAATCACAAATGTATAGGAAGCAAGGGAAATATATATAGTGAAGTATCAAACATAAGAGCGTATTATCTTGAGTCTAAAAAAATCATCAAACTTGCATCTGTTCATTGTGTTATGATTATTATAATTATATTTTAATAATAAAATAAAATTTGAACCGAATATGTTTTCTCGCTCAGAATGTACATGCAATAATTTCAAAGTCATCAAATACTCCCTTGCAGATTGTGTAGGTAAAAAGAAACTACATAAAAACAATAGTGCGGTACAACAACTAACATGTTACAATAAGCGTTCCTACATTAGATAAAGAGCCACTGGCTGGAGACCTAGTGCATAAGCATTACTACCTGTACATACCATGTATATATGTAAATGATGTTAATAAACTTTTTACTACTACTACTACTACTACTGCGGTAGTCCAGTGGTTAGGGCGTAGGTTTAGTAATCGTAGGTTCCTCAGTTCGATCCCCAGCATCGTTTCCATACAATAGATAATGTCAACATTGTCAACTCACGTACCATCTCCCACCCACACCCCCCTCCCCGCCAAGGAAAAACTGATGTGCCCAAGAAAATGTTGTGCCCTTTTTTTACAATAAACTCCTGTAATTCTGTTATTTCTTTTGGGCCCGCTTACAACAATAATGTTTCGCTGAAATGCGTCTATAACAACTGTAAAATAATGTTAAAAAATATGTTTACATACAGATTCTGTTAAATATTGTATTAATGCGAGTGTCGAAAAAAGGCCATTATTAAATTAAGGTAACCCTGTATATATCTGCAAATTTTTTTTAAGACTAGTTTTTTTTATGACATAAGATGTAAATATCGATGTAATACCAAATATAAAACCATGTTAAAAAAAAGATCCCCAGCATCGTCAAAAATAATAGGGTTTTTTTATCGCTAATTACAATCGGGCTTCATTAAGATCGGTCATATATAATAAAAAAAATTAATTATCTTTTGTTTTGAGTGAGTTATGGTTAATATTTATTATTGTTTTCGATATTCCAGTCATCCGATTTAGATACATTTGACTTGATCAAATCCGGAACCGTTAAACCGGATCAGAAAAGTTTGATCATGTCTTGATTTAAATTTGCGTTACATGTCTGATCAAAATTTGATCCAGTTACCGTGTCACTTCCGGATCAATCATCAAGTATGACCTGATCCAGTCTTGACTAGAACTTGACCAAAATTTCCACTCGGGTATTTTGATCGAGAGTAGCAACTTTTTTTCCCACCTTTTGAATTTTATTCAGCATTTCACCACTTTCTCATCTCGCCGAATTTTCCGTCGCTAAATAAATTTTTTCAACACTAAGAAATATTGTTATCTCCATTTTGTTTAATTTTGTACTTGACCTACTGTTCCAGTCGGTCCGAGAAGTATCTCGAACAAACCATTGCCAAACGTCAGAATTGTGCAGATTCAAATCATCCGATATGGTCGCCCACTGGATATGGAGACATTTTCAATTCAACTTTTATTCGTTATTGGTTTGGCAATTTTTTCCATGTCTTAAAATATCCAGAGAATCTAATGAATAGTGTCATATAGGGTTAAACGCAAAAAAATACCCCCTCTACACGGAGAGAAAAACCCGGGAAAAATTACGTGACTAATCACGTAATCGTGGGCTGGAGTGTCATTTCCTTGATTTTTACTGGAGAATTACGTGACAGTCACGTAATTTCTTACGAACTTGTAAAATTTACCACAGTTCCGGTTAAAATTATTGCGAGTGAAGTAAAAATTATCTAGTTTCACTTGAATTTTACGTGACGTACCGTAATTTTTACGTGACCGAATTGAAAAATTCCTAGACAGCGTTGGTACGACTGTTGATCATACCCGATCGCGAATCATTGTCTATGTTCGGATCACGCCACCCGGCAAATTACTATTGTCGGAAGGATAATTAGTATATTGTGCCTCTAGGAAGTAAAGTATTTTCTGACGAAATGTGAGTATAATCACATAAGTCAGAAAATACTTTATTTCCGTGAGGCACACAATATTTTATTCTCGTAGGGACTGGAAACGGCAATCTAACCGAGCGAAGCGAGGTTAGCATCGTACTCTCCAGTCCCGGCAAAATTTACGGAACTGAGTATCGTTATTTTTCTACCTCCAAAGGTGACTTTTTACCGACCGAGTGGTAAAATGTTCTGAATGATAGGCACTTTTTCCGATTTTACATTTCGCCCCACGTTTACCTTTCACACATGAATTTTTACGGAACTTTTTACGTATTTTTTCGAGTATTTTTCTCTCCATGTACGTTGCCCAAAGGTGAGATTTAGAATGCAAATGTGGTGAACGGAGAGAAAAGTCCAAGACCAATTACTGTGTCAAGTGCTACCATCGGGGTGTAAAATGCCAGGATAGCAGAATTTCATTGATTTACAAATTAAAATTGCTGTTAATATCGTTAATTTTCTAAAACATTCCGTATTTAATCGCATATGGCGCCATCAAATTTACAAAAGAACACGATAAAATTTGAAGCTCCATCATTTTTTATTTGAGTTTGAAAAAAAAATTAATAGAAATCCTCTGAAAATTCCTATCCAGATCGGTATTTTTTATTGTGCTACACATAATTTTTTCGAAATTTTTTTTAATCAAATATGATGGGTTGGCGATCAACACCGGATGTGTCCAGTTCTTGCCGAAGTTGAACTTAACGATAGTAACTGTTGTAAAGACTTTCAATTGTCACCTGGCCGATAAGGATATTTTCTTAGCCTGATGAAGAAATTTTACTGAGCGGCCTAGTAATTCTTCTTGGGCCCGCCGTTTAGGAAGGGGTTGTTCGAAGGGGCCAGTAGCAACGTTGGAATTCGGCGCGCTCCAAGAGATGCTAAAGGTCGGGGATATCAACTCTGCGACGAGGGCAGTCCCTCCTGGCACACGGCACTTCAACCAGCTGTAGACGAAAGTGGAAAGCACCAGCAGTACTGCTTAGAGTCTTTGAAGTTATGGTCTTGTTCATTATTATTAGTTTATTCAGAAACCAGTGATATAGAAGCTTTCCGCAAAAAAAACTAAAATGTTCTGAAAAATTGCAGCAAATCATCATCTTTTGCTGCTGAGGCGTTTTCGCACTCGAAAGGTACATTTTCTTCGGCAACTATTAAACTCGGTACATAATCGAAATATATACCGGTTTACTTGTGAAATTGGTGCTTCTCAACGATTGAATTTCCATGAATTGCGACGATAATTTATTTTACTTCATTTGGTTATTGTACTCTCATATTACATTACTCTCTGGTCAAATTGTCCTCAATTGCCGAATGATAAATGATTCAATATTCGAATTTGAATGTGCTTAGTTCTTCAAATTTGATTCTCAATAATTCCAATTGTAATTTATGTCGGACTTTTCTTCACAGTCTGGCACAATAATTATAAAATTTCATACGACCAAGAATTTTTAATTTTTGGTAGGCGCTTTCATCGCACTATACTCCCCCGTGGAAGGCCTCAAATATTTCTCTCAGCAAATTAACCCCGGGGTTCTGATGCTTTTTCACTGAAATTTCGAATATTTTCTCCTTATTCATGATCTTTACTATTCCATTCGACGATTTCATTAATCAGACAATTTGAACCTTAATCTACAATCCAATCAAATTTAACATAAAACTCCGAACTATTATTAATTTGGTTTCATGCGATAACAAAAATTTGTAGAATTGCCAATTTTTTTTTCAACGCATCTCTTGTATAAATTATATAAATAAAAGAGACTGACTTATTTCATTCTGAAATTTGAGTATAAATCGATTAGAAATCTATTCATAAAATAGCGGTAGAAGACATGATTGTTACTTTAAATATTTTTTTTTTCATTCATATGGATAAAGAACATCATTCCAAATATGTTGAAAAAAATTTTTAATCGGTTGAGTATTTATTTCCGAGATATTCACGAGAAAACGTTAAAAACAAAGGACTAATGGACAAATCAAACCGAACTTTCGTATGGAGCTAGTCCCATGTCGAATCAACAAAGCAGCTAAATTTCAATCTTTTTGGTATGTTTTTTTCCGTTTAATTATCAAATTTACGAAGAAATGACCACCGACTGAATAGTGTCACCCACAGATAGCCAAACTTCGTATTTTTACGTTTCGGACCATTCTGAATAATTTCCAAGCAAAAGTAGAAATTATAAAAATCGAATGATTGTAATGGATCCATTCGGAAATAAAGCTCTCGATTTAACTGGGAACTGTATTTTTTTGAATGTTGATGTCGAAACAGTTTTCCCATCTTTACATTTTTCATGGCCTTTACAGTAAGGGCCTTACTTTACATTGGTACATATTTAGAAGAACGGCCCCACCCATTTTCCAAAGAAAGAAGTGAAAATGTTGGAATTTTCGCAGATATCCCGATAAAAAAACTGAATTCCGGAGGTGGGAAAATGTGATACGCCGTTAAGATTGGTGGCAGGTTGGTTTTAAAATTTAGGACGTGAACGACAGTGATACGACACGTGCCACAGTGAAAATCCAAAAGATCGGAGGTGAGGCTGGTGTTATAAATATTTACCTTTTTATTTACCATTGTAAAGTCTGGAACATGGAGTATTATATGTGATTCCACCTGATCAACCACTAACAAAGTTATACAAGGCATCAAGGTGGAATGGAGAAGAGTCGAGGTGCTTGTTTTCCTTAGAGAAATGAATAAACTTACTCAGGGCGACTTGACCCTTGGCTATGGTAAATATTTACTGCACGATATATCGATGGCAATATTTCTACGCTCCAATTTCCATGGTATACATATTGATGCAAAAGACATGTTGAAATAATCAACTATAGATTGTATTTATTTTCTCATATTATTGTTAACGAAAATCAACCATTGAGCTTGTTTTTGCCGTAAGAATAAATAGAAATTGTTCAAATTTCACTTACCCACATTCAATGGTGGATACATGAATGGCCACTTCGTCGGGAATTCTGAAACAAAACATTAGTTTTAGAAATAGGAATTTGATATTTTTTCTAATGCATGTACGTTCGTGAATTCGCGAAAATTCGATGAAATTACCAATTTTTTGGAGCTTTTTTCCAGATTATAGAGACCTGTGGCGCTATCACAAATTCCAATCGAAAAAGTGCCATGCGAAATTTTCTCGTATAATCACCTCATACTGTTCCTCAACATTCATCTCTATTTTTACAGCGAAATGAAGCAATTCAGTGAGCCCATCCCGGCATGCCTGGCTCAACCTATCCGTCTGTGGATATTATTTGCCTGCTAATGAAAGCTGCAGTATGCAAACATCGAAGAGCACAGACCCACTGAATATTGGGAAATGAAGTTCATCTCATTCCCGAGAGAATAAAAATGAAGAAGGCATTGAGCACGCAATTTCAACGCGACCTGCATCGAAAAAATTATTGAAAATTAGACATGCGAATGAAAGGAACGAGTCTTTTTTGGCTTGAAACCGTTATATTATTCTCCGAAAACGAGTTTGTAACACAAATTTACCAAAGAACTTGGGTTCATTCGAGACGAGGGTCTAGACCAGGGCTGGCCAACCTCTGCTCTGAGAGCAAGTTGTGCACTCACAACATAATTTAATTAATTCACACTGGTGGCAAAATCATTCATTTTCTTCTTGCAAATTCAAGTCAGGTTTCACCAAAACATACGTAACAATTTGAAGCCAGCGTCACACCATCATATTCATAAATATCTTGTTCAGTTTTGGATTTTCTAATTTCTGTTTCACCGTTATATTGATCCACAAATTATTTGCTTAAATTATTGGTGAAGTTATTCCTCTACCCCCAAATTCCGGATAATTCTTCTATTCTACCTTTTGAATTGCTGCAAATATGGTCTGGACACAAAATAATTTTTAAAGGCGATTTCTCGACCTGAAAGCATTAAAAAACTATTCTTCCTAATATTGCTGTCTATTTCTAATGAAAAATTAAAATGTCTATTTCAAATTGATGGAAATTTCATCATTTCCTCTCGATCGCATGGTATGTCTTCTAAAGGTATCGGTCGAACCAGGGCTCAAGGAGGGAGAAAAATCGAATTAGAGCAGGTAGCGTGGTTAAGTGGCTGAGGCCCCTCTCCCAGCTCTCACTAACGGACCTCAGGATCCGACTGAGTACGATGAGCCCAGATTGCCGGGCCCTGCTCAAAAAAAGCTTCAACTAAATTAACTGTTAAAATCTTACATTTAAGACTTTTAAGGTAACCAGATTTCCACCCCGTGGAAGAGCTTCTCCTTATTAAACCATTTCTACTCGCCAAATATGACTCAGGGATAGGCAGTAATAAATAGGAAGTCGTCCGTAAAATATGAGATTCTACGTTCCCCTTTTCCCAATGCCTGATTCTATTACAATAAAACCATAAACAGTCTTTTCAGAAACAGAAATTTCCGTAGTGAAGCGGTAAAATAATTGGAGTCGATTTGTGTCAAAAAAAGAGTCGATCATTTCAACTCGAAGTAACTCATGAACGTGAAATACAACTCGAATTAATTTGCTCAATTTTGAAAAATAAATGATCGCAGGAATTGCAGTGAACCTATTAGTATGAGAAACTCACTCTAAATGAAATGAAATTCATTAATTAGTTGTCCCAAATTCATACACGGAGAGAAATATTCAGTAAACTTTAACAGAAAAGAAACGTAAAAATTACGTTTCGAAACGTATTCTGCGAGCGAACTCAAATTCAAGAAAAAGTCCGAGTCACTAAAGAAATTTTCCATTTGCGCCACGTAAATTTTACGGAGAGTTCCGTAAAAATGACTCATCCCTTCGCTGACGCAGGGGAGGGGGGAGATTTTACGAACAGGACCCGTAATTTTTACGAAGCCTGAATTTTTTTTTAACCAACAACATACATTTACCAGCTATAATTTATTCATTTTAATTTAATATAAATCAGAAAACGTGGTCTACAAAAAACAAATATTGAACAAGAAGTTAGATAAGACCCTCGTGGCCGACATTTTCCTCACTGAAAACTGAACATTTCATGATTTTTTTTAAACGAAGTAATTAGGATGATCAATTAATAATTATTACAGGGGTATCCACGCGCTAGTCGTGCGCTAAAACAGGTGGGTGTTTGAGGTTAGGTGTGGTAGAAGGGAATGTTAGGCAAGGCCGGTCATGGAGTAACGTCTTGGGTTATCTTGTATTTATTCAAATGTTAAATAATTATACCGGTATTTACAATTCCGCACGCGATCCTTCTGTTACGGTTTTTTAAAAATTATTTGGGCACCCAGCTTTAACAACACAGCACAGCGTGACTTTCTTCTGTTGGCCGGTTTCGGTGAGACCGAATTTACCCGAAAATGTACGATAACCGACGAAGTAGTATACGTTTTATGTAACAGGTATAGTGAAAATTTACGGATCCGGTTCCGTAAAAATTACGCATCCGTTACACAAAAAGTCTTGAACTTTCAAGACTTTCTATGTTCTGATCAAGAATAATTCATGAGATATCTGTTAAATTTTACTAGTTCCGGAAAAATTACGTAACTTCTTCGTATTTTATCGGTGGCAAACTAGAAAAATCCCTCACAGTTTCAGAATCATTCCCGTCTATTCCTACAACAACTACCAGAGAATGAGTCTCGCTTACGGATTACGTGAAAAGTTCCGTAATTTTTACTAACTATTTCTCTCCGTGTAACAGAGAAAGAGCAATCAGTTTTTCGGCTCTCCAGTAAATTTTACTTTTTTCGACTGACGTCATTTTACCGCTTCGCTACTGATTATTTCCTTGCAAAATCCTGCAAAACCAACAAACATATTCCTGGGCTAATGGTTTCACACATCTAACATTATTATTTTTTCACTCGTTTGGATCGAACGCTTCCACTCCACTTGCAAAACTTCCAACATTCAAAACTTTCGATTACCTGAACTCACGTGTTTTCTCCGGCATGAATGTGACAGTTTCGGATATCAGAAAAAGAAATTTGTTCCTTTTCTTCATTCCTTTTCGAATTTCATGGCGCAGAAAGAGTTTTTGGCAGCAGCCTATGTAACGGTTCCATTTTTTGACTTTTCTCATCTCAGAATTTCACCATTCAATCCAAATACTCAGCATGTTATGTTACGTTCACCACAAGAAGTTGAATTTATCGTTCGTGTGTTTACATACAATAGAGCAGTGGCGGGAAACATAAACCTCAATACAGATCCGTTCTTCTGTTTACCTTTCTGTATTTATTTATCTTACCGTCAGGTTCTGCAGTGGTTTTCAGTTTCTCTCGGTTTTCCCCTCTTCTTGCGATCGCTATCACCATGACCCCAAATGGAAAAAGTATTTTCTTCTGGTTTTTTTGTGAGATGGAGAGGTGAGCGAAAGGATGGGATTAACGAAAGGCGTCTTGCACTTTATACGTCGCCTTCCGGCCGTTGACCGGGCTATGTACGATAATACGACCCCACAGCGAACTCAGTGAATGGAAAGATTGTGCCTCATTCATTCGTTGTGATAACCCGCTTTGCGTTTCCGAAAAAGAAGTATACAAGGAGGAGGCAATCGAGCAAAATAAAACTTCATGAAGCGAGAGTCGAGCAGAAAAATTTAAAAGAGGATAGAAATGCTTCAAGCTGAAGGAGCAGAGAACAGCTTCGGTTTGAGGCAAATATAATTTGTTATATGACAAGATTCATATGATGGGTTATTTACAAGTCTTGAAGATTGTACGTACACTGACAGAAAATATTGTGTGATGTTACATACGATACGATAACAGTTACAAAATAGCGCTGTCGAATCGGAGCAATTGAATATTCGGTAATAGTTATACCGCATGATTATTCAGTTGACCGATGGCACGTTCAGCCATACCTGATGACAATATTGACGACGAGCAGGATTGTTTGATAATATAAAAAATAGAACTGAACTGTATTATTATATTGTTTACATCATATCATTTAAATTGTTTTACACGCGTATATATACATATTTCATATATAAAGATAGATATAAATAGCTGGTGTATCAGACGATACTAGATAGGGCTCCTGTTATTTGAGATTCGGTAATATTGATTGAATTCTTCTATCAGTGTGCTACCACCTCGCTGTCTCCTATAATTCCTGTAATGAAGAGTACTTCGTGTTTTCTCTGTTTATTTATTCTTGATTATTGGAATGCCAGGAAAATAAAAATCAAAGGACTGCACTTCGCTTTGCTTTGCTATTGAGAGTTATAAAGTAAAAAATGCGGTCATTATTATGTACATTCACACTAGCGATTTTAGCCGGAGGTCGGGCAGAGGGACTATGATATCTCAAAAAGAGTGGATGAATAATATGCAGTACAATTCAAATTGGATAGCTGCAGAAGGGTAGCGGAGAATATAATGCATCATGTTTCAGTCCGGGACAATTTGAGTCGCAGTGAGCTGCTGTGGTATGATATCGATGACTGAAAAATCCGCTTAAGATTTTGGAAATCGTTCATCTTTTTGTGATTCCATTGTCTTAAGTGCAACGACATATATTGCCTTTTGGGTCCACAATACTTTCCGTCCTCGTTGTGGCTCTGGATAACGCAGAAAGCGGTCTAGATAAAACAATCACAAAAATCAAAAGCGAAGATCGCATGGATAATTGTGACCGGAGCAGGAGGGTCTAATTAGCTAGTGTGAATATAGGAAATAATTACCAAACTTCTGGGCGGTGTATCAAGAATTTATATCAATAGATAAAGGTGACCGGTGTTTGTCAATACTAAATCATTGACGCATGACCTATCGGAGAGGAGAATTGCCAAGCTTCAAGCATCCCCTCCATGGCGTTAGTAAACAAGCTCGCGCCATAATTTATCTAATAGTTGAACAATACTTAAGCTAATGGCGGATGTTGAGCTCAACATAGCAAAGATGGATAGCAAGCATTGGCAACGATGATCCGCCGGCCGTTCGTTAAAGAGGAGCAATCAGCCTTTG